CATTTGAGGTTGTTGTTGTAGTTTTTGCCCTCTACCATGTAATGTCTGGTTCCAAGTTTTCTTGCGGTGTTTTCTCTTAAACGGGGGGAAAATCATATATTTGTTTTGGATTTTTTTGTTTACTAAATCATATTTTAAATAAATTAATTATTTAATTATTTAATTTAATTAGTTAGTTACGTTTAAAAATTGTTTTTATTTTTGGGTAAAAAGTTTTTTTCTCGGATGTGTCTTTTTTTCATTGTTTTTTTTTCATCTTGAGATTTGCCTTTTTTTGTTTTAGCACTTCACTTAAAGTTTTTTTTGTGTTTTTTAGTTAGCTGGTCTTTTGAGCTATTAACACCATTTTTAAGTTTGTAGTCTCTTTGTTTTGGTGTTTTTTATTTTTTGACTTCCTTTCAGCAGCATGGTGTAGTTTTTTATTGTTTTTGTTAAGTCTGTCTTATTTAGGTTCTTATGTTTTTTTTTGCAACGTCATCACAACACGTCTTATTTGGTTTAATATTTTTTTTTTTGTTCAACACGACTTTGTATTTTTTTTGTTTTCTTTCCGGGTTTTGTAAGTTAAGTTTTAGTTTTGTTGTTGTTTTGAAACTTTGATTTCTGCGCCCCAACTCCAAGTTTGTTTTTATTATTTTGTAACAGGTTACTTAATCGGGTTTTTGTCTGTGTATGTGTTTATAATTGTCTTAGTTCCGTTTCTGTGTATGTGTGTATATAAAGTGTCATCGATTGTGTGTTAATTTTTGTAAATTTATTTTATATGTATATATTTAATTCAGTTAAACATTGGTTAAACTTTTTTATCAAATTGAAATATTTTCGAAATTATTAAAGTTTTTTTTAAAAAAAAAAACTTTTTAAAAATTAGTTTACACGGGCTGTAAACCATGGTTTTGATCATATTAATTGGCCACTTTAATTATCTTTTTCCCAAAAAATATTAAAACTTTTTTAATAAATATATCATATATATCAAAAATTCCTTTTACACCTTGTCAAAGAGTTCAAAACTGAAAAAAATAAATTTTGGTCAAAAATATGCCTTTTTATTACGACAATATATTTTAAATACTTTAATGTATTTTGGCAAGAAGTCCCATAAACCACCTACTATCGAAAATCAAGAAGGCAATATGACAAAGGACGCTAGACATACTTTACTAAGCCCAATTTAATAGAACCTGTTTCAGAATTCGTCTTTTTATGATTTTTACATACTTTCATGTATTCTGGCAAATAGTCCCATAAACCACCTACTGTCGTAAAAAAGATAATAGGTGGTTTATGACAATATTGCCTTTTACTCCCAAAAGCATGCTAGACATTTTACTCAGTTTGTGAATAAAATAGACAGATGTTTTTTAAAAATAGGGCATACCTCAAAAATACAGGTTTACTAGGAATTTTATTCATGTTTCAGAATTTGAAATTAATTTTTTCGAAATGTGTATTTATTTTAATGTATTTAGTTTATGTTATTTATTTTAAGAAATATTCATCTATAGGTGGTTAAAGGAACTGAAATATGACTAAACATATGAATTTCTTTAGTGGATTATATATTTTTATGTATTCTGGAAAGACACTCCCATAATCCACCTACTGTCGTAAAATGAAAAAAAAATATGGCAATATTACTCATAGCACAGCTAAAAGCATGCCACAAATTTTCCAACTTTTAGATTTTTTTCCTTTCGAAATCTGGTTAAAAGAACTAAAATATGATTAAACATATGACATTTTTAAGGATAATATATTTTTAAATATATTCTGTAAAGACGCTCCCATAAATCACCTACTATCGAAAAACAAGCGGAAAATATAGCAATTTTAATATATTGCACCTAGAAGTATGCTACATATTTTTCTTGTGGAACTTGTGGATTTTTTCCTTGAGAAGTATATGAGTTGTGTTTAATTTGGGGACATTTTTATTTTCTAAAAAAAATATCATATTAATTACTCCATATTAAATGAAATTTTATCCATGTTTCAGAATTTTGATCTTATTTTATGCTAGTATATTTGAATATTCTGAAAAAATTGATATTAACTTGAGTTGATGATGGTTATTGGTATAAACTTTTTATTAAACTGCGTTTAATTTATTGATTTGACCTATACCTTAGTTAAAAGATGAAAAAAATTTCAAAAGAACTAAACCTGGATGGCTTTTGGCAAGAAGTCCCATAAACAACCTACTATTCGTTTTTGACATATATTTGAAAAAATGTCAAAAGAACGAAACCTTGATTAAATGTGTTACTTTTGGCAAGAAGGCCTATAAACCACCTACTATCTATCCTAGGCCGTTTCTTCTTCTGGCTTAAACCACTCATGGAATTTATGTTTAGCTAAAATTGTTATTGTCTTTACAAGTGCAATTGAATATTCACGAGAAGTTCTGGGCTAAACCTACAGTGTAACTGGGAGTTAGCTAAGATTTCTATCCTTTACAAATCCAATTTGAATATTCAGAAACTATTTTGAATCTAACTGGAGTTTCAAATAATTTGAAATAGGAATAAAATTCAACGGAAATCTTAGTTTTTCTTTAATAATTTTCTTCAACACTCGTCAAAAAATCCGTCTTGAAAATTACAAGAAGGAATTTAAAGTATTGTAATGGTTTTTGGAAAGCAGACCCATATATAACCTACTATCGTATTAATGAATTTCAAACGCTGTTTGAAATTGATATCAGATTCAACACAGATCTATTAAAGGGTTTAATTTTTTCTTTTTTAATTCAAAATATTATTTTAATTTGCTTTGGAATGAAGTCCCATAAATAACCTACTATTGCATTAGTAGATTTTTAACGCTGTTTAAAATGTATATCAGTTTCAACACAGGTCTATTAAAGGGTTTCATTTGTTTCTTTTTGATTCGAAATATTATTTTAATGGGGTTTTGGAAAGCAGACCCATATATAACCTACTATCGCATTAATGAATATTTAATGCTGTTTACAATTGATATCAGATTCAACACAGGTCTATTAAAGGGTTTCATATTTTCCGTTTTAATTCAAAATATTATTTTAATTTGTTTTGGAAAGCAGACCCATATATAACCTACTATCGTATTAATGCATTTAGAAAGCAGACCCATATATAACCTAATATCGCATTAATAAATTTTTAATGCTGTTTAAAATTGATATCAGATTCAACACAGATTTATTAAAGGGTTTCATTTTTTTCCTTTGAATTTGAAATATTATTTTAATTTGTTTTGGAAAGCAGACCCATATATAACCTACTATCGTATTAATGCATTTAGAAAGCAGACCCATATATAACCTACTATCGCATTAATGAATTTCTAACGCAGTTTAAAATTGTTATCAGATCCAACACAGGTCTATTAAAGGGTTTAATTTTTTTTCTTTTTAATTCGAAATATAATTTTAATTTGTTTTGGAAAGCAGACCCATATATAACCTACTATCGCATTAATGATTTTTTAACGCTGTTTAAAATTGACATCAGATTCAATACAGATCTATTAAAGGGTTTAACTTTTTCCTTTTTAATTCAAAATATTATTTTAATTGGTTTTGGAAGGCAGGCCCATATATAACCTACTATTGCATTAAATAATTTTTAATGATGTTTAAAATTGATATCAGATTCGCAGAGGACTATCAAGGGTTTCGTTTTTTCTTTTTAATTTGAAATATTATTTAAATTTGTTTTGGAAATCAGACCCATAAATGCCCTACTATCTATTTATTAGAGGAATGTAAATATGTTGAGCCTAAAAGTATGCTAAGTAAAGTATTCTATGGTATTTTGAAGTGGCCTTGGATGAAGTAAATGTTTTAAATTTTCAAAAAAGGAAATTTTTAAAATTTTAGTTCAATTTGTTTAACCAATAGTTTAACTATGATTTAAATATTTTTTTACTCCTTTGTTTTTTCGTATATATTTGTTTGGGTGAAATTATATTTTTTTATTAAGTGTTGTTGTTGTTTTCATATTTGTTTTTTGACTTGTATATATGTCTGAGTGTTTGTTTCTTGTGTCAATTTGTGTAGTTGTTGTATTTTTTAGGTGGTGTTATGTATTTTGTGCTTAAAAATTTGTTTGTTGTTTTTTTATAATTTTTGTTTTTAAGATAAGAATTGTTGTTTTTTTAAAAAATAATAACATGAGTTAATTATTTTCTTATAGCTGTGCTTTGGTTTTTTTGTTTTAAAATATTATTTTTTTTTGGTTTTGTATTTTGGCAGTCGGCTTAAATTTTAAATAAGTATTTTGTTGTTGTTTTTTTGTTTTCTTTTTGGTTTAAAAAGCAGTTATTTTTAAATAATTTATATTTTTGTTTTAGTTATATAATGATTATAATTTTTTTTACAATTTATTCTGAATTTTAGATGTCTTTTTTTTTTAGTTATGCTGGCATAAAAATTTATTTTTTTAGAAAAAATTAAATTTTTTTGAACAAAAATAGAAACAAATAAATAAAATAAAAAATCCGTTTACAATACAATTATCAGAGCTTGTAAATTGAAATAGTTTTTTATTTATTTTTTTTAAATATGAATGAATATTAATTATTATCCCATTTAATTTTTATTAATTATATACAATAGTTGGTTATATATTTTTATCTATAAAAAAAAAATAAGAACCCATTTATTTAAAAAATAAAAATATAAAAAAAAACTAAAATAAAAATTATATATATAAAAAATAATGAATAAGGAAAATTATTTAAATTTTTTGTTTAAAGAAATAATGTTTTGAAAAATATTTTTTTCAAAAAAAATATTACAATTTTTTCTTCTTTATATATTTAATTTTTTCTTTTTTGTTATATAAATAGAAAAAAAAATATTTATTGTTGTAATTGTTCTTGCTGTTGTTGTTGTTCTTGTAGTTTGTTAAACCGCCTCCATCCGTTTGATGTTTGTTGTTGTTGTTGATTTGTTGATGTAATCTGGGATTTCCGTTATGCCTTCATTTTACGGTTAATATTTTTTCTTGATGTTGTTGTTGTAACTGAAAGAATTATTTGCGCTTTTGTTGTTGTTGTTGGTTGTACAGTGTTCTTGTTGTTGTTGTTTGTGTAAAATGTGTACATTGTATTCTTGTTGTTGTTGTTTATTTAGTAGCAGAAAATTAACGCTTTAGTTCTCGCGTGCATCTTGGAGGGGGGGGCGAGGCCTGGCTCAGACATCTGCCGTCCTGGATGTTATGCTCGGCGATCTCGAGTGTATTACAACCTTATGACCGTTTTTTGTAACAAAACCATCGCTTTCGACCAGTACGGCCGTTTGGCGGCCATTACTGCCGCCGCTGACACAGCCCGGACTCAGGGGCCCACCATTCCCCGTGGCACCCTCCACGGCTGGGTCGCCCGCTTCACCTCCGCCGCCGGCTGGATCTGAGGGTGATGTGGCTCCAGCTGCTGCCGCCGTCGTCGAACCACCATCTTCTCCACCACCACCCTCACCGCCTTCAGCTCCACTCTCGCCACCGGCACCTGCCTCGCCATCATCACCACCATCGCCCTCTTGCGGTGGTCCCGCCTTATAGCGCCGCCACGCATTCTGTATCAGTTTGGCGCAGTACTCCTCACGCTGGCGCCACAATGTCGACGACACCGGATCATAACCCTCGGTATCCGGTCGCGCCGCAATCTCACCAATCTCGCCCGTCTCCTCAATTGGATTGCCCTTGCGCGCAAAGAAGTCCTTCGTCAGGGCATCCAGAATGTCCACACAATACATCATGTCACCGCGACAGATGGGCATGTCCATCGATATGATTTTGTACTTGTTCGGCTTGTGTATCTGCAGCGGCGGCTCCAGCACATCGAGAAATTCGGACAACTGATCGTAGCGTATGTACTGGGTACCCTCGGGATCGAATTGTTGCCAAATCTCGTAGTACATGTCGTAGTCGTCATCGGTGAGACCCTCTTGTACATCCTCGGTAGCCTGGCTATAGTTCTCGAGAATGACAGCAATGTACATATTAATAACTATCAAAAAGCTTATAACTAGATATGAGAGGAGAAACGTAATTCCAACAGTCGCTGAACCACAATTGCCCGGATAGCCCTTGTCGTTGTCGGGTGGATCGCAATCTTCCTCATTGATAATGGCATCTAACACGCCATCCCAACCGGCTGAGGTAGACATCTGTTATGTCAAGGATAGCCAATTTTTTGAGATTTTTTTTATTTCAGATTTGGAGGCACGGTTGGAACGGCCATTGTTTGAACGTGGTGGTGGTGATCGTGGTTGTGGGTAGTTAGGTACGTCGTGGGTCGTTTTATGTTTTTAGGTAACGTCATGGACACGATTGTTTGAGATATAGTTTTGGTTTTATTTTCGGTTGGCAGTGGAAAAAAGTTGGTTAGAAAGTTAAAGATTTTGAAATTAGTTTTCAAGTTATGTCGTAGTTAAACAAAAATATATGAGCAACAATTAACATTAAATCGTAATTCTAAAAGAAATTGGTTAGTCTTTGTCTTATATTACAAGGTTTTGGAACTTTTTTACAAAAAATCATTGGTCCATCCCCCACTACTGGGATAAACCAACAAAAAACTAAATTTGAATTTGTTATCTAAAATGGGATACGCCGTGGTAAGTATTTGTATAAAAATAATCGAAATGAAGATGTAAATTATAAAAGTTAATAATTAAGCCAAGAGGGGGCGAGGGGTTAGTAATACAACCAACCCAAAACTATGCTGAGATTAACCCAACTCATGATCTCTCTTTAGTTTTTTATTCCAGAGAGCTGTATACAACTACAAAAGCTTCTTAAGGGAACGGGGAGTTAAGTGTTTTCTACATCCTAATCCTTAAAGCTTTACTACCAAAAAGCTTTTTTTCAGGTTCAGCTTGGTGTTGTGATATTACGTCTGGGATTCCTTAACTTTGTTGGGGGGAGCGGAACTTTGGGTGCTTAGTTTTTTTCTATTTTCTCCTTGGGGAACTTTGTCTGCAAGCTTTTTTGTTTTTGTTAGGCATTTCTTTGTATATATTTCCAAGCCATATTAGTTAAGTAATTTATTTTTTTTTAATTTTTTTTTAGTTTGCTGCTTTCATGTTTCCTTTTTTGGGGATTTGTATTTACCCCCCAAAAAAAGAAAGTTATACGGTTTCTTATTGAAATTGTTTGAAGCCTTGATTTTTTTTTAATCCATTTCGTTCTTCTTTTCTTAATGAGGAATTGTATTTTTATTTTTGGTGTTTGTTGAAAGAGCTGAATTAGATTTTGGAAAATGTTGTTTGTTTTTTTTTTTTTGCAGAAGAAAGCTTATGATATGAGAAATAAGAGTTTGGAATAGAGAGAGCCAGTAAAACGAAAGTCACATAATTTACAATGGTTGAGGTGGGGGTTGTGGCGGGGCAAAAAACGTTTTTGGGAGAATCTAGTATAACGCTAAATGAGAGTTAGCTAGTTTGCTAGGAAATAAGAAGAGAAAAAGTTTTTTTATTTTCTAAGGAAATAAACAAATCCTTAAGGAATATGGATGCTTTGGGTGGAGTTCCAATATCTTCCTCTAAAAACCTTCCTCATCAGCTGAGACAAAAATATTGAAATCTCACTTTTATAAACTGCCTGAGATCGATACAACTTTTGGTAGTTTGTTTATTTCCTATAAATTTAAGAATGTTGGGCGCCATTTTCAGTACTAGATTCAAAAAGCAGATAATATTAACTTTTCAATTTGACATATGTATTCTATATTCTGTCCTATCGAGTATGAGTAACTTCATGTCGAGGAATAGTCTTTCCCATCTTTCTCTAAAATCTAAATTTTCGATAAAAAATTCCGTATTGTCTAGTGATTAGAATATTCGGCTGTAAACTATCTTCTATATATTTTTAAAAATTGTCTTCTCTATTTTTTTCACTAAAAATTCCGTATTGTCTAGTGGTTAGGATACGTCTCAACAAACTATTCCTATCTTTATTTTTCGATCAAATGTCAGCCTCGAAAATTCAAACCTTTCTAGTACTTTTTTTTCCCTTGGAGATTTCCGTTCACAGAGATTTCTGAAAATTCCGTATTGTCTAGTGCTTAGGATACGTCCTAAGAAGATCAAACTTCTGTTTCCGAAACTCAAATCTTCAAAGCACTTTTCTGCGGGAGAAATTTGGACATAGATTTTCCTCCCAGGTATTTATGAAGATTCCGTATTGTCTAGTGGTTAGAAAATGTTTCACGAAACTATTCTTATCTTTATTTTTCGATCTCAAATATTCATAGTACTTTTCTTCTGGATCAAAATTTGACACAGATTTCTGAAAACTCCGTATGCGGCTCAACAAACTATTCTTATCTTTATTTTTGATCAGTTTCCAATACTCTAATTTTCATATACTTTTCTTCTGGAGAAAGAGACTTCAGAAAGTTCCGTATTGTCTAGTAGTTAGGATACGTCTCAATAAAATCTTTTTGTCTTTATTTGTCGATCAAATATCAGTTCCCCAATATTCAAATCTTCATAGTACTTTTTTTCTGGAGCAAATAGGAGACAGATTTCCCTTTCAGAGTTTCTAAATATCCGGTACTGTCTAATGGTTAGGACTCGTCTCAATAAAATCGTCTTGTCTTTATTTTTCGATCAAATATCAGTCCCCAATATTCAAATCTTCATAGTAATTTTCTTCTGGAGCAAATAGGAGACAGATTTCCCTTTCAGAGATTTCTGAAAATTCCGTATTATCTAGTGGTTAGGATACGACCCAACAAAATATTCTTATCTCTATTTTTCGATTAAATTTCAGCCTCCAAAACTCTAATCTTTATAGCACTTTACTTCTATAAGAAATTGGAGAAAGATTTCCCTCTCAGAGATATTCTTATCACAATTTTTCGATCAAACTTCAGTCTCATCTTAATAGACTTTTTTCTGGAGGAAGATTTCCCTCTCAGATATTTCTGAAAATTCCGTATTGTCCAGTGGTTAGGATACACCTCAAGAAGGTATTCCTTTCTTTATATTTCGATCAAAATTTCAGTTTCTAAAATTCAAATCTTCATAGCACTTTTTAGAATTCCGTATTGTCTAGTAGTTAGAATAACCAGATCGAAGGACCAATGAGGACCGGACTTTCTTTTTAATTCTGAGCTGAGTCTTTTTCTAGATAATCCGCATATATTTTTTACATGATACCCTGCTCTTTGCGAGCATTTTTTATATAGAATTTCTGTAAACTTTGGAGCTACAATTTTAAATTATATCCCTTATTGTTTTGAGGCTAAGATAATCTGGTCAAAGGACATTTTTCATTTACAAGTCTTTCAAGAGAGTAACAGCTGTGGGAAAATGTCTGTCTGCTCGGAAAAAAAATCCGCATTGTCTATTGGTTAGGATACGCCTCAAGAAGATATTCCTACCTTTATATTTCGATCAAAATTTCAGTTTCTTAACGTCAAATCTTCATAACAGAGAGCTTCCTTATTGTCAAATATACTGGTTTGGCCTCTGATTTTTCAAGCCTTAAGGCCTGAATTTTTTATAATCCTACATTTTTGATCTTTTTTTATCAATTGTATTTTTGAAACTGTGGCATATTCATACTTGCTGAAAATGGCGCCCAACATTAATACTTTTTTCACTTCTCTTCTTATTTATTTAAAAAAATACCCTCAATTCTATATTTAAATTCTCTACAATTAACTAAATAGGGCTTATATACACAACTCTACAAATGGCGTTATACTAGAATCGCCTATTTAAAAACTAAAACAAATATATATGTTAGAAAACCCAAAATATGGCAAACATAAAATAATTTAAAAAAAATAAAAGTCGGAGAAGCCTTAAAACAAAAAAATAATATGGAAAATAGGAGTTTAGCTAAAGCATTTTGATTAGAATTTAGAATTTTGTTTAATATACAAGTTATCAATTTTTAATTTCGATTAGTAGATTGAGGGTTAACTCAGGGGGTTAGGGAAGGTATTGAAGATAAAAATTATATATAGAACGCACTAATTTAGCTTTTACCAACAACTACCGCAGCTTGAATCAACATGTGATATTCCCTTTTTTATTTGTTGTTGTTACTTTGGTTATTTTTGTACTTAAGTCTGAGAGGTGTTAGTATTCGGTGAGTGTTTTTTCAAAGTGAAATTCACTAAACTAAGGGGTTGTTTGTTAGTTTGTGGCAAGGTGAGTTAAAATGTTTTTGCAAAATTGTGTGGAAGAAATATGCTCTTCTCGGGGATTCCAAAATAACCTATGCATAGAAGACCTTTGGAATGCCATTCTCAACTAATGAAGTGAGGTTTTTTATGGCATGAAGGTTCTTTACAAGTCTCAGAATAAATTAAAACAACCTTCTAAATATAATTTCCGTATTGTCTAGTGATTAGGATAAATTTTCTTTTCAGTTCTCTCATAGCTAAATCTTAGAATATCCTTTATATAAACAAATATGATATATTTCAAAGGACTGTTATAGATGGAATTCAGTTTTCGCAAGCCGTTCTAATTCTAGTAGGTTTTAAGGAGTAAGGCCTTTTATAGCTTGAAGACATTTCACAAGCGCCTGACTAAATTTGGTCTATAGATTAGGATAACTTGCTAAATAAAATTTCCGTATTGTCTAGTGATTAGGATAAAATGCTCGAAGGACTAACAAATTCCACATATCAGTTAACCTCAAAGGTAAAATATACCTAACAGATTTTTTTTTTTTAGAATTCCGTATTGTCTAGTGGTTAGAATAGCCAGACCAAAGGATCAATAATGACCCAACTTTCTTTCAATACTGAGGTGGTACTTTTTCTAGAAATTCTCAGAACTTGGAATAAATGTCTATATCCGTATATAATTTCCGTATTGTCTAGTGATTAGGATTAAAGGCTCGAAAGAGCACAAGTTTTCAGGAATATCAGTTATTTTACAAAAATTGTGACTTGTGTAGTGGTTAAAATAACCAGAACGAAGTACCAATGACGACCGAACTTTATTTTCAATTTTGATGTGTGAATTTTTGTAGATAACCTGATACCCTGCTCTTTGCGAACATTTCTGTGTAGAATTTCCGTAAACTTCAAGGCTACAATTTTAATTAATGTTCCTTTATTGTTATTAGGCTAAGATAAGATAACCTGGTCATTTTTCATTTACAAGCCTTTCAAGAGATTAGCAGCTGTGGGGAAATGTCTGGTGCTTAGGTTAACTTGCTCAAATGTTATATTTTGGTTATTTTTCTGCTAACAGGTCTCGGAGATTTTTGGGTATTTTTCCTTCCCCATCCATTCTTTCGGATGATTATTTTTTGTTCATTTAATGTTTTCCGTATTGTCTAGTGATTTGGATATCTGTTTGCAGGGAATTATTTTTCGGATTCTAAATTCCCTTCCTCAAGCTGCGGGAATTATTTTTCGGGTTTAAAATGTTCTTTCAGGAATATTAAACAAATAATTTCGTATATTTTGCAGTTCAACCATGAGGAGAACTTGGTAATAATGCAGAATTGTCCTGTTCGGAAATCCTTCTATATTTCCATTGTTAAGTTTGGTTTATTAAACGTTTGTCTAGTGATTAGGATATTAGCCTGCAATGACTTATTTTCGCAGATTAAATCTTTTTATTTTTTTAATCTATGTTCGTATTGTTTCTGGTTCCATTATGAAGAAAGCGTGACTTTGTAAAGAATATTTTGGTTATTTTTCCGTATTGCCTAGTGATTAGGATATCAGACTGCCTGAACCATTTTCGGGTTTTAAATTTCCTTCCACAATTTTTCGTATTTATTCTCTAGTTCCACTATGAAGAGCGCTCCCTTACTTCTTTGCAAAAACATTTTTTTTCAATTTTTTTCGCTGCAAATGTTAGTGTATTTTTTGTGATTTGTTAGCAGTGTGTATGTGTGATGGCCCATGAGAACCATTTTTCTTTCCATAATTATGGCCTAAGACCATGCTCATCTTGAGGTTTTTCTCGCTGGCGAAAAAATTCCCCAAAATGAATGTGATCTTATGCCAAGTGCGATCAGTGTTCAAGTTATGGCTGAGTTGTGTTCTATTTTATTATTATTATTTTTATTCTTCAAGTTTTGTTAATTATTTATTTTGTGTGTGTGTGTGTGTGTATATATACCAAAGGGAATATCACCCAACGACAACAACAATAGACAATATGAACCGTATGAGAATTGTGGTAGCTTACCTGAAACAGCAATATCATACTTTGGCCAAATGTCTTAAAATTATACACAGCATTTATGCCGCTCTTCTCTTTGACATGCATGAAGAAGGACATGCCAAAGATAGCAAAGATGAACATCACCAGAAACAGCAACAGACAAATGTTGAATAAGGCAGGCAATGACATGGCTAATGCGAACAGCAACGTCCGGATACCCTTAGCACCCTTGACTAAACGCAGGACACGACCCACTTTGGCCACTCTCACCACACGGAGCAGTGTCGGCGATACGAAATACTTCTCAATGATGTCGCTGAGTACAAGACCTAGATTCGGAATCGGGCGATACGTAGGCGAAGTAGGAAGTAGGAGGTGTTTTTTGTATAGAGTTGTGATTAAAAATATTTCGAAATTTTTATTTAGAAAAAACAAGAGGATAAGATAGGGCACATAAATTTCGGGGAGAAATGGGAAGAGGAATTGGGAAAGGTATGTTATTGGGGGGTAAAGATTTTATTTTTAAAGACAGCAGATAGTTTTTTTTTCAACTCTTAAAATAGCCTTCCGTTTCAAAATCTTGGGTTTTTTCTAGGACAACACAAACTTGTTATTACATACAGGTTTTTTGGTGGACGGTCTAGGATTAACATTAATTAACACAAAATTGTTTAAACAAACACAAATTATTAACAATAACACAACACAAAATTTGGTTTTGGGTTTTGGAACATAATAAAGGCTTAGCTGGACTCGAGGCTGGGTTAGTAAATTTCAGGTTTTTATTTTTTTGTATTATTTTTTTAGGTTAGGTTAGTTAGCGGGGTCTGTAAGGCGGCTGCTTGTTAGCGTAGCTTAGCGGAGCGCTTTTGTTTTTTGGTTTCAATGTGGCCTGGGCTTTTAGGTTAGTAGGGAGTTAGAAAGCTTTCACGGCTGCTTGGTTATACCTTCTAAACTCAATAAAAAATATTAGTTAAATATTTTTCTTAAATACATTTTTTTGTTATAAGGAAATGCTATAGAAAAACAACAAACATTTATTAATAGTAATTACAACAAATACACATACATTAAATACATAGATATTTACATAAATAAAGCATAGAAAGTGAAACAAATGCATAAAATGTATGAACAAAAACTTAAAAGCTTTGTTTATGACAATAAAGAGAGCGACGAGAAGAGAGAGAGAGAGAAAGGTAAGAGATAATGATAAATGTAAGAGTAAATAGCTGAGTCAGTTAACTGCAACGCTAGATTTTGGAAATGATTTGTTCTTTTTGATAAATAAATATTCCTTGATGAAAGTATGCGAAACATTTTTCCTTTTCTTGGCAAAAGGCAAGGAAAATCATTTCCATTTTTAATTCCTGTATTTGTTTTTTTTTGCGATAATTCGTAGCATATTTTGTAAGTAGCAAACATCCCCAACATTATCACTCCTCCTTTAGATGAATTTTCCATAATTTCTTTTGGCTTTTCTTTTGAATTAATGTCGTAACATTATAATTTGGATACATTTTATTTTTAAAAAAATTGTTTAGCATTTAATTTGGAAAATTTTTAAAATTTCTTTAACCAATCGCTTTTTGTTTTTTCATTAAAAACATAAACCTCAATATTTTGTTCATTGGTCAATTCGGTGATTTATAATGAGTTGTAGGTTTGAAATTAATTGCAATTCTTTGGAATTGGATTCATACACTTTTGCAGGTGCAGAAGTTTATCTTTAACTAATTGGATTAAAAATGGAATTTACTCAATCACGATTTGGTTTTCTAATTTTTAATATTTGCAATTTGCATAGCATCTATCAAAGGATTTGTTTAAATGAGTGATAAGTTGGGAGACCATCCAAAAAAAATTAGAGATATGTGGTATATAAATAAGAAAAGTATTTGGGGGCTTAAGAGATTATTAGCGTCAACATTATTTGAGCCAGCAGGAAAGGGGTTGTTTTTTGGGGCTACAAAAAGAAAAATTAGTAATTTTATATATCTTACAAGGAAAGTCAAAGGGTTATGCCCTACACCACCATGATACCAAACCTCCAAATTTGCTAGAAGTTGGTCGAAGCACATTTTTTTATTTACAAGCCTTTTGTCAAGAGAGTTAAGATAACCTGGTGTCTGTGCTCATTTTTCCTGCTCAGAAATTTTGTGTATTTTTGTAAACCATTCTTTTGGAAACCCTTAGAAAATCCCATTGTTATTTTTCTTTCAGTATATATTTTCCGTATTGTCTAGTGATTAGGATATTAGGCTGCAAAGAATTATTTTTCAGGTTCTAAATTCCCTTCCTCAATTTTTTCATTGAAACCCAACAGGTCCTGGAGATTTTGGCTATTTTTCTTGTATAATCCTTTCTTTGGAAAATCCTTAGGAATTTTTATTGTTATTTTTATTCATTATATATTTTCCGTATTGACTAGGATATTAGGTTGCTATGAATTATTTTTTTAGTTCTTAAGTCCTTTTTTTCCTTTTTTATTTAAGTTCCATTAGTTCAGAACTCAACTCTTCAGTATATTCTTGAAGATAAAAGTTCGTCAAAAAAAGAAACCATTTTGGCATTTTGTAACTTTTCCAGCTAATATTCCAACATATTTCAAATAATGTAAAGGACCCCATATACCACCTACTACATTATAAGTGACTCCATATTTCACCTACTATGAAATTAGTGATCCCATATTTCATCTATTATATAAAAGGACATTTTATATTCAAATTATTAAAAATACATCAACCCTATATTCCACCTACTATTAAATAAGTAACCCATATTTCACCTACTATGAAATATGTGATAAATAGTTCGCCTACTTTAAATTAGTGAATCAATATTTTACCTACTATATACTGGACATTTTATAATTAAATTATTAAAATTACATCAACCCTATAGTCCACCTACTATTGAATATGTGACCCATATTTCACCTACTATTGAATTAGTAGCCCATATACCACCTACTACATTATAAGTATTTCATATACTATGAAAAAAGTGACCCATATTTCACCTACTATGAAATAACTGACCCATATTTCACCTACTATGAAATTAGTGACCCCATATTTCACCTATTATATGTAGAAGGATATTTTATATTCTAATTATTAAAAAGTCATCGACCCTATATTCCACCTACTATTAAATAAGTGACTCATATTTCACCTACTATGAAATATGTGACCCATAGTTTGCCTACTATATAGAGGACTTTTTGTAAATAAATTATGAAAATTACGTACACCCTATATTCCACCTACTATTAAATATGTGACCCATATTTGCCCTACTATTAAATTAACCATAAAATTAGTAACCCAGAAATTAGTAACCCATATACCACCTACTACATTATAAACCTACTATGAAATAAGTGACCCATATTTCGCCTACTATGAAATAACTGACCTATATTTCACCTACTATGAAATTAGTGACCCCATATTTCACCTATTATATATAGAAGGACATTTTATATTCAAATTATTAAAAAGACATCGACCCTATATTCCACCTACTATTAAATAAGTGACCCATATTCCACCTACTATTAAATATGTGACCCATATTTCACCTACTATAGAGGACATTTTATAATTAAATTATGAAAATTACATAAACCCTATATTCCACCTACTATTATATATGTGTCCCATATTTCACCTACTATTAAATTAGTGACCCCATATACCACCTACTACATTATAAACGAATACATAGTTCACCTACTATGAAATAACTGACCCATATTTCACCTACTATAAAATTAGTGACCCCCATATTTCACCTATATATAACCATTTTATATTCTAATTATTAAAAAGACATCGACTTCATATATGCACCTACTATGAAATTGGTGACTCCATATTTCACTTATTATGAAGTTAGTGACCCTATATTTATCCTATTATACAGAAGGACATTTTACATTCAAATTATTAAAAAATCATCGACCCTATATTCCACCTACTATTAAATATGTGACCCATATTTCACCTACTTTAAAATTAGTGACCCCATATGACCCCATAACCACCTGTTATATTATAAACGACTTCATAGTTCACCTACTATGAAATAAGTGACCCACGTTTCACCTACTATTAAATTAGTGTGATCCCATATACAACCTACTACATTATAAGCGACTTCAGAGTTCACCTACTATGAAATAAGTGACTCCATATTTCACCTGCAGTGAAGTCAGTGACCCCATATTTAACCTATTATACAGAAGGATATTTTATATTCAAATTATTAAAAAAACGTCGACCCCATATTCCACCTACTATGAAAATAGTGTGACCCCATATACCACCTACTATGAAATTAGTGACCTCATATTTCACCTACTACATAAAAGGATATTTTATAATGGAATTATTAAAAAGACAACGACACTATATTCCACCTACTAGTTAATAAGTGTCCCATATTCCACCTATTATGCAATTAGTGACTCCATATACCAACTACTCATAGTCCACATACTAAGAAATAAGTGACCCATATTTCACCTACTATATAGAAGAAAATTTTATAATTAAATTATTAAAAATACATCGACTTGTCTAGTGGCTGGAATAATCAGCTCGGAGGATCAGTAATGATCGAAGTGGATCCCATTTCGTTCCTTCTTCTATTCCTTTCTTTATAATTTTTTTCCCCTAAAGCCAATATTGGTGTAGGGCATTGAATATCGACTTTTTTTAAATTATTTTTTCTTCATAAGTTTTTTCAAAAGGGAATTGTCTATGACTACAATTATGACTACTTTATTACTTTTTATATTTTTTCTAATAATTTGCAAATTACTTTATTACGTTACTTTACTTGATAACTAAAAAAAAATGATTTTTTTACTCTTTCTCTAATGATTTAGTTTGCTGAAAAATTTCATATCATTTGTAGTCATATGACGAAAAAGATTTCATACTGCCCGTAGTCATCTGACTGCAAAAATCATCAGAGAATCTAATGATTGTTTGCTAGCTATCTATTTTATTTTATTACAAATTATATATTACAGTGATGACTAGTTTCTGCTATACAATACAACTACGGACTAAATTTTTTACAGAAGGGTTAAATTACAGTTTTACAAAAAATGAAAGGAAAAACGTTCCTTGTATGCTTTACCAAAGAAAAATAGGGAGGTTCACACGCTATTTATAGGTTGTTAAGATAAAAGAAAATCTATGACTTTCCTGCTGACCTCAATGTTTGCATTAATAATCGAAATTTTAAAATAAAAAGGTATTTAATTAGAGGGGTTAAAGGAGAATTAGTAGTTAGAAATAGAGAGAGAGTA